ACGAACGGAGGGACTAACTGTATGGGGTCAAATTCTGCCCACTACGGTAGCAACGACCCGCGACTAAGTAATAGTCGAAACGAGGGTATGACCTAAGAACGTCGGGGTGAAACGTGCCTTTAGATCTCGTCGTCTCCTCGAAAGCACGTGACCTATCTCTGCATTATTTTATTATTTCAAGGAAGTTCACCTGTTATATAAAGGAGGATCCCAATGTTGTAAAGGCATCTGATCTTGATATAGAAAACTTTTTTTCTCTCTCTCTTTCTCTCTCTCTCTCTCTAAGCAAGCACTCCTTTCTCTCTCGAATATCCAAGTTGTTGAAGCAATAACAAGCATAATACATATTTCTAGGTTTCATTATATTCGATTACGATTTACCTTTGATTCATTTTAATTGTTTTCGCTTACAAAGTAATTAGAATCTTTTGAGCCAAACAAAAGCAATTAATTCATTATCTATAACATATATTTATATTACAATTTCAATCAATCGAATTGAATAACTCGTATAGTTAATATTAAATTTATAAGAACAATATCGTCCAACTTCCTTAAAACTGAATTTTGAAATTTGCTAGAAGTATATGAGGCTTGACATTCACAACACGGGACTTGATTGAGGATCAACACCCTTCCTTTTCAACAAGGCAAAAACAATATTTGTGCTCTCATTTTATGATCCATGACTCACACTACAACATTATGCATCTATAGCTACAAAATATATTGTAGCTAAATATGAAAATTTTCGTAGCTAAACACTTTAGCCACAAAAAGAATTTCCGTAGCATTCGTAACGTAACTACAAACTTTACATAGTTCATGGCTAAGGACTAATACTTACTGCTACAAAAGAACTTACATTGTAGCTGTAATGTTAAATTCTTGCCAGAAAAATATTCACTTATAGCAAGTGATTTTAGTCTTTTGCCACGACTAACAAAACGTGTAGCTATCTTCACAACGAATTGTATTGTAGCAAAAGATTTAGCTTGTTAGCCACACAAACTCAAATTTTATGGCTATATTTACAGTTTAATTTCGTAGCAGTAAGACGTGTGTTTAGCTACAGATTCGAAGATCCATAGCTATGATTTAAATTGTTTGCTACAGACATTTTTATTGTAGCTAAGAATTCATAGCTACGTTCTTATTTTGTAGCAATTTTATGTATATCTTTAGCATCAAATTCAAAAATTCCATAGCTACAACTAGAAGAATTTGTCATAAGCATTATTAGCCACAAAAATTTATTTAATGTAGCTAAGAACGGTTAATTTGTAGCATGAAATATTTGGAAAATAATAGCAAAATAACTTTAATTGTTTTCATAAACACAATACAAAATATGCTAGAGCATAGAAACATATCTTCTTCAATTATCTATAAATGCAATACATTAGTAAAAAGACATAATTAAAGTTTCATCAGTATCATTCAAAATAAACTAAAATAGTAAGACCTCTTTTTACTCAAATACATCAGTAGGCTTTTGCAAGAGAACAAAAATTCATGTTCCTGTCGATCTTGATGCTTTCATAACTCCTCCATAAGCTGCAATAACAAGTAAAAATAAAAGATAAGAAAATGGTGGATTGAAATATCTTCACATAATCATTAAAGTTTATTTGCTAATATGAACTTTTCCTAAAAGAAATCACATATATTCTAGAATTAGTTATATAAAACAATATCAATGAGAAGTGTAATAAGCTGCTTACAGTTAGATGAGCAGCAAACATCCTTCAATATTTTTCTTCACATCATCTAGCCAAGCTGATCCCGGCACCTTTACGATTTCTCCATCTGACAACTAAAAAAAGAATATATAAGAAAAATAATTGTACGAAGTACTGAGACATAGAAATTTAAAGTTTATGTGTTAATATAAAGATTTCCTTAGAAAAGACATAGTTTTAGCAATTAATCATAGAATAAGATATTAATAAGAATAAAAGCGTGATAAATAGGTAGAGAAAACGAAGTGATTATACTTGCTGAAAAGTATTCATTATCCCTAATACAAACACTCATCTTCTGCATTTTGTCTTCTTAGAAACTTCAAATGATTCTGCAGGCATACTATTGTCAAAGCTTGAACCCTAAAATATAGAACACTAGATACAGTTTGCAAATACAACAACTTTCAGGATTTCATTAGTCCCTTAGACTTCTCTTAGTCTCATCTCCAGAATTTTTCGAACAACTTTCCTCTCATTATCTTTCAGCATCCTAAGAGTTTCTTTATTAATGGACAAAGCCAGCAGAAACAATCTCTATTTGAGACATTTCTGCAATTCCACATCAAGGGTCAGATATTCACCATACTTTTGTCAAATATCTTAAAGGCACAACTTCAGCTCAAAAGGCTTATCAATTGACTTTTTAATGTACAGAATATACAAAATATTGACAGGAATCAAAGTTAACTTATCAATTTAATAACAGAATGTGATCATAGTGAAATTTGATCAGCTATTTGAATGCACTCTCTTTCAAGAATTCCACTATAACTAGTAGCAGGATCATTGGGACAACACTGAAATTTCACAATCTATGCTTTTCATTGTAAATAATCTAGCTATTTGTCAGTGCAAAATATGGTTCACTCAGCATTTCCAAGGATTTAACAAAACCAAGAGGCTGGAATATATATACTAGTTGTTAACATCTGCTTTACAGTGCGACAATAAGGGCAAACACCCTGAATCAAAACAAGATTTTCAAATGTGTCTAAATACCTACTCTTTTTACTAGCTAGTTCCTCCAACTTTGATTTTATAAAAAAGGAAATAGCACTGTTATGAACTATTATCAACATAAAAACACTTAGTGAAAAGGCTTAAAAATAATTACTCGACGTTATACTTGGAAGCAAGACATTTGTATTTGTTGTCATACTTTGGCAATATAATTATGGGCCACTTCAATTCAACAAGGATCATAATAGCTTTGTCCAACTACAAAGAACTTAAGTTCGTTAGATTGCTTTTCGAGCTCAAATTTAGAAGTAAAACCACACATCACATAGAACGACAACACTATCTGCAGTCTATATTTTGGCCATAAAAAACAATAATTAGGTCCCTTTCATTGACAATAAGAGAGTGTGAATATTAAATGCAATGGGTACAACAGTCTTAGAGGGCAGAGACTATGCTCTTAGAGGACAAAGAACAATTGATAAGAATATTACAAAAAAGCATATCCATGTGCATTTGTATACTACTTCCACAAATTTTATGAAAATCATAGTTAACTTCTTACTTTTTAACTTAATGATGATTCCCATCAGAGGCTAGTTAATCTTCTCGTAAGAGCACTATTTAACGTTCTAAATGTAATTAAATAATTCTTTATCGGTTATAGTAGAAATGCAACCTTGTTACACATTTCGTTTCTTTTCCCTTTTTTAAGTCTAATATCATTTTCTTTGGGATATATCTCAGTAAGTTTGCTTTCTATCCTAATTCGATAGCTTAGTATTAAATCTCACGGATACGACAAGTTTTATTTTGTGTCTCATACAACTGACACTAGTTGTATGAGACTCCTTTTTGTCTCACAAATTTGTGGACCTCAATCTTACACTTCTGGGTCCACAGAAATCTGGGTCCACAAATTTGTGAGACAAAAAGGAGCCTCATATAACTAGTGTCAATTGTATGAGACACAAGATAAAATTTTCCCTAAAATCATGTTTCCCCCTTATTTTGAAAAAAAAAAAAAACTAGTTAATTAAATATTATCTTAGTAATAGTTGTAAATTGTAATCCAATGTATTATGGAGTATATAATGATATAGTTATCCAATTAAAATAATACCCTATTAACATAATTAGATATAATTATGTAATAATTAAAATTATAATTGGAACCTACAAGTGATAATTATATGATATACTTTATGATTTAGATAATTTTGTTATACGCTTATATATCAACTAGTATATTAAATTCCTAATTATTAGTTCGACTAGACATTTAATAAGTTTTATAATAATATTGAGTTTTAAATTATAATTATTTTTAAACACAGTCGATAATTTTCATGTACATAGCTCCTAGCACAGTGACTAGGTAATCCAAGCTCGACATGTATAACGAGTCGAGCCAGCTCGATAGGCTCGACTGTATTTTAACTCGACTCAATTATAGTCAAAGATCGGCTCGGCTCGACTAGGTTAAAGCTTGGTTAAAGCTAGGCTATGTCGAACTTGGGCTCGATTAAGCAAACTCGGCTCAGCTCAGCTCAGCTCAGTTGGCTTACTTTAGTCATGTAATTGTTACCTCAAAACCAAACTTCGTCCATTAAGCTTAATTTATCATAAGCATATTAGTAATATGTTAATTTAATAACTAATATTTAACTAGTAGTACTTTTATGATTTTATAAGCCCCTAATTAATTCGATATAATTAAATTTTGAATACACATCATTACTTAGACTACTTTATGCGTGAGACGAAATGAAATTCAAAATTTAAATTTAATAATTTAATATTGTACTTATATTTGAATTTATAGCTGCTTTAACTTTTGTTTGAAATTGTTATTTTATGGTACTAGTTTCTATGAATGTGTGTTGCACGTTAATATTAGCACATAATGATTCATTCAATTATTTATGTGAAGTAATACCAAATTTTATTAGCGAGATAATTATATATGTTTGGGAAGAATGACATTAAAAAATGCAATAATCATTTAAATACCGATAGGTTACTTTATCATGTTACCATAATACTTGAACTCAAACTAATTGAACATCTTCTAAACAGGTAAAAATAATCAATTTAACTAAGGTAGATAATATTATTATGTACTTTTTTTTTGGCAATAAATGTGAATATTAGCATAGCAATCAAACTGAGTTTTTACATCCCTATGAGCATCCAGTGCATTAGAGCATCTAATACATCCAGACCTCGCAAAGCAATTAATCAATCTAAGTACAATTGAAGTAGTATCTACAGTGGCCTAATTACATAAACTTCTTAAGCACACAGTCTTTGTATCATCAATGAGCATTGGCTTGCTCTCTTGGACTCTGCATACATGCTTACCCTGTATGCTATCTCCTTTTTGATTTGCCCAACACAAAACTCCATCTTCAATGCAATTTGTCTGAAGATCCTCCAGTTCCTAGCTTGCCATGTTTGATACACCATTGCTCCTATGAGTGCTGTTGCAGCCTCTTTCTTTATATGCTTCCAATGCCTTCTACTAATCCATCTTAGTAGTTCTGGTATTGCCTTATTTGGTAACTTGATTCTTGCCCAGTTCATTAAAGCCTCCTTCATATCTTTAAACCAGCTACAATCTCCAAACAAATGCTGCTGTGTTTCAAGTATTCCCTGATCACAAAGGCAGCATTCTGCAGTGTCTGTTATTGGAATGTTTAGCTGCATTAATCTACCCTTTGTTTGTAATTTTTGTTGATAAGCCAACCATAATGCAAACCTATGCCTTGGTAGCAGTATCCTATTCCATATAAGTTTCATTTCCCTGTATCTTGGCAGATATCCCAACATTGCATTGTAACTTCTAGTTACAATATACTGCCCATTTCTGGTCAGCCTGTATGCATTTCCCTGGTACCAGTTTGCCATATTATTCTTCAAACTATTCAACTTCTTCCAATACCAGCTGCAGTCACTTGGTGGCTTGTGTTCCCATATATTCCTGCAGGCTTTCATATATATCCCATGCACCCATCTCACCCATAAAACCTCCTTGTTTGTCACTATTTGCCAAAGAAGTTTTCCCACTGATGCAATATTCCAGTTTTTGTAGCCTTTTATGTTCAGACCACCTCAGATTTTTGGTCTACATAGAACATCCCAGGATACCAAAGCCATTTTTCTGTGACCTTCTACAGAACCCCATAGATACTCCCTACATTTCCTGTCTATTGCTTTAATTACACTTTGAGGCAGAATGAAAACAGCTCCCCAGAAGTTATATACTGCAAAGAGTACAGAGTTGATTACTTGCAGTCTGCCTGCATATGATAAAAGCTTGGCATATCCTGTTTGAATATTTGTTGTGATTTTGTCCAGTAACTGATGACATTCCACCTTGCTCCATTTCTTTGATGTAAGTGGCAATCCCAGGTATCTCATAGGAAGAGTACCCACTGAGAACCCTGTTGCTTTCACAATGGCTTGCTTGCTTTCTTCATCCATTCTTGCTAGGTATATGTTGGATTTCTCCATATTTGCTACCAGACCTGATGCTGCACTGAAATGGTTCAACACCTCCAGCATCCTGTTAATAGACTGACTATTTCCTTTGCAGAATAACATCAAGTCATCTGCAAAAGATCAAATGAGTCAGTTTGGTGCTCTTACACATTGGATGGTATTGAAACTCTGTCATTTCACTCATCTTGTTTAAACCTCTTGTTAAGTATTCCATAACAAGCACAAATAATAGTGGAGACATAGGATCTCCCTGCCTCAATCCTCTTCTTCCTTTAAAATATCTATATCCTGCACCATTCACCTTCACTGTGAACTTAGTTGTTCTAACACATACCATTATTAGTTGAATGAAAGGCATTGGAAAGCCATAGCCTCTGAGTACTTCTTCCAGAAATTCCCATCTTACCATGTCATAGGCCTTCTTTAGATCAATCTTCATCAAGCACCTAGGTGTAGTCTTCCTGTTATAATGTCTTAATAGATCATGACATATTAAGACATTGTGGATAAGTGATTTCCTTTAATGAAAGCTGCTTGGTTATCTGCTACTATCTCCGGTATGATTTTCCTCAATCTGGTGCATATGATCTTGGATATACATTTATATATAACATTGCAGCAAGCTATAGGTCTAAATTGACTTGCCTGGACAGGATTCTTCACTTTTGGTATAAGTGCTATGCTGGTGGAATTGATCTGGGTGAGTAATTCTCCATTTTCAAAGAATTCCAGTACTGCTTTTGTCACATCTCCTCCAATTATTGTCCATGCTGCTTTATAGAAGCCACTCCCATACCCATCTGGTCTAGCGCTTTTGGTGTCATTAATGCTGAAAATTGCTTTCTTCACTTCTTCTCCTGTATATGGTCTTAGTAATTGTAATTGCTATGTGGTTGATAACACTCTCCCATTTTTTAAGAATCCCTGGATGGCATGATCTCTGAATCTTCCCTTTGTTCCTAGTAACTCTTGATAGTAGCCCACAAAAATCTCTGCAATGTCTTCTTGTTCAGTTTGGTTAACTCCATTTTTGTCTTTTAATTGTATGATTGCTTCCTGCATCCTCCTGTATTTGATTACTGAGAAGAAGTACCTAGTATTGTCATCTCCCAGCTTAATCCATGTAGCCTTGCTCCTTTACTGCAGATACACCTCTGCCAAGTATGATGATTTTTTGAACTTTTGATACCTTTGCTTCTCTTCTATCTGTAATCCAGCATCTAGAGGATTCTTGTGAAGTTCTGCTTGTGCCGTGACCAGTGCCAATCTATCTGCATCTGCTTCTTCTATCAAGTTGCTAAAATGTCTCTTCTTTAACCTCTTCAATTCATTCTTTAGCATTTTAAGTTTCCTGACCACCTGAAACATTCTACACCCATCAATCTCATTCATCCATACTCCCTTAACTATGTCTATAAAGTTTGGATGTGATGCCCAAACATTACAGAATTTAAATGTATCTTTTGTCCTCCTGCTAGAGTCTCCCATAGACAGCTTCATTGGACAGTGATCACTAATGCCTTCTTCTAAATATGTAGCCCTGTAGGTTGGTATTAAATTGAGCCATGCTGTATTGATGAATGCCCAATCTATTTTTGAGAAAATCCTATCATTTCCATGCCTATCACTCCAAGTATATCTGCTCCCACTAGTTGGCATCTCCATCAAGTCACACTGATCTATGCATTTTTGAAACTCAATTACTTCTGCTAGGCTTACTGGATTTCCCCCAACCCTATCATCAGTATGTAGGACTGCATTGAAATCACCCATAATTATCCATGGGCCTCCCAGATTCCTATTCATATTCTCAATATAGTTCCACAAACTTCTTCTTTCTTCTTTGGTGTTGAATGCATACACCACAGTCATCATAAATTCTATCTGCAGTCTTCTATGGCTGACCTTGCATGTAACTGCTTGGTCAGTCATTGTAATCACTGTTACATGATAGCAATCCTGCCTCCATGCCACCCAAATTCTCCCATTATAATGCTTACTCAGATTTGTTATACTACCTCATCCTCCAAATAGAGAATTAGCTACCTGATTAATTTTATCTGCCTTTATTTTGTTTCCACCATACAAATCAACCCTATATCTTCTTTGTTACAAAGGAGTTTTACCTCCTTTTGTTTGTTAGGGGCATTCATACCCCTAACATTCCAGCAGATCATGTTATCCATTGGTAATGGGAGGTGCAGCTCTCCCTCCCACATTCCCCTCTCCTTTCCTGCTACCCTCTCCTCCTTCAATATCCTGTGCCTCCAGTATTTGAAAGTTATTGTAGTAACTTCTGTTCCCAGCTTCCTTCCCTTGTTTTGGTTGCCTGTTGATGCTTCTTGAGACATTACTTGGTGTTGTCCAACCTGCAGTACCCTGATTCTCCTGGATTCTTTTCCCCCTTCCTCTATTGTATTGTCTTGGACTTTGCTTATTCCTTCCCCTTCCTTACTATTTGGTGATTTGCCCTGCTTCTCTGTTGAACCTGTCTCTCCTACCACTTTTTGCTCATCTGTTGGCTTAGGTTCTACTGCATGTTTTTTATTTTTACACACCTGCTCATCATGTCCTTATTTCCTACACACTTTGCATAGTGTAGGCTTCCAATCATACTGTACTTTTTTCTCCATTAATAGTCCCCTCTCATTCTTGAACACCACTTTGTCTGGTAATTTAGTGTCCATCTGTACTTCTACGAGGAGCCTTGCAAAGCTTAGCCCTATCTTCTTCTCAGTATTACTATCAACCATCAATGGCCTTCCAACTAAGCTACCAATTTTGCTTAGTCCTTTGAGACTCCAGTATTTGAAATCCAAACCAGGTAATTTTATCCATATAGGCACAGTATATAACTCCTCCTTAGTGAACTCCATATCTATATTCCATGCTTTAACAATAAATGGCTTGTTATCAAAATGATAGATACCTCATTGAAGCACCTCGTTCTTCCCTAAGCTAGTATCAAATCTCACAATTACTATTCCATTTTTCAACATAGAGACTTTATTGATTCCATGTTTTCCCCATATCCTTCTTACATAAGCATTAAGCACAGTAAATGGTGAGTGAGCTCCTAGCACATAGCATACCACTGCATTCTTCCAATACTCAATTTCAGTTTTTATGTCCTCAGTCTCAATTTCACAAACAGGTGTCTTATCATGCACAGCAGGTTCTACGAATTCTAACTTAAATCCAGCATTTGTTACCTTTGTTATGTCGAAATTGTCCCATATAGATCCCCCAGTATTTGCCTCATGAGCAATCTCCATGATCTCTGCTTCATCAGCCCACGATAGTTTTCCACTCCCAGCCCCAGTTTCCCGCGAATTTGGTGAGGTTTTTGAGGATCCCTCACCCAATTCTGAACTTCGCAGCTCCGATGGACTTACATTTAGTGAATTTTCCCTTAAATCCACATCAATTTCCTTTTCCTTCTTCTTCTCCTCACTGCATGCTACTGTTGCATTGCTTCCATTAATTTTCACTTTTTCAAACTGTTTCTCGAGATTCAGACCTTGCTTGCCTTCATCATTCTTCTTCCGCTGCTGGAATTTCATAGTTTCCTTCGCCATTATCGCCTTCTGTGATGGATTTCGAGCTCTCTTGCCCATGGCGCACGTTTGGCTAACGTGCGCTGAGAGAGAAAACCGTCAGAGAATATAGATGTACTTGTAATTTAAAAATATAGAGTATGATCATTCACAACCATTTATGATGTAGTAACTTTTGTTTTGTGCTAATATATATTTTCACTTCATATTCATCGGGAAGTACTGTCTGGATTTTTGTCTCCTATATATATATATATATATATATATATATATATATATAATGTAATCAAAATTGATGTAACCAAAATATTAATACAGACAAGTTAAAAATATAATATAAATGTACAAGAAAATATTATTTCTTCGCCCACAAAAGTTAACTGAAAATGCAAACCTTCACCTTCTTGCATATTTATATCCTATTAATAATCAACTTCCAATGTCATTCTCAAAACACATGCAATAAGTAAGAAAAAGTTGTGAAATAAAATCTGATCTAGAGATAAAACAACTTCTTATTATCTATTGTAGTTTATTCATTTAATTTAAAGAAAAAATCAAATACATTTTCATTCAAGAGTTAGAAGATCTAAACGGGTAATAACTTAGATTGGAAGATCTAACGATTCTATAATATAAATAAAACTACCAAAATAACCTTTGCAATATTTAGAGATTCAAAATATGTTTTGAAATCGACTGATCAAATTGAACTGTATAAAAGCCAACAAACCTACACGTCTTGATAAGTTGACCATAATTTCTGAATTAAATATTTAAACAATCAAGAATTGAGTATAGTAGAATATGTTGGACTTTAAGCCATTGACCTTCAGCAGGGTTCTGGCGTACCAAAGCCGAGCCGAGCCGAGCGACGACGACGACGGCGTGAGAGTTAATTCTCTTCAACTCCTTTTAAGAGCTTTAAGAAGTGATTCTATATATAAGCATACAAATGTGGTTGTCCCTCACCAATGAGGGACAAAGTGCAAGACAAAAGTTCACTTCTTCAAATTTTCGATTTCCCTCCATTTCCAATTCACACTTCTTATACTTTAAAGCCCAATGGCTTAAAGTCCAACATATTCTACTATACTCAATTCTGTAGAGATTTTATCTTTTCCCGATTAAATGTGTACTACTTTTTATTTTCAAAACTTGGAAGCAAAATATTAAAACTTATTTTATGTTGACTTTTTGTTTCAACTATCTGTTTATTTCTAATTCTAACAAAGAAGTTAGTAATGTATTTTAAGTCAAATATATTGATAACTTACAGCGTATTTCTATACAGTTACAAGCAAAAGGATACTTATTTTTTTAGATATTATCTGCACAAATTACTCCAAAGTAGGAATTGCAATAAGCAAAATGGCTGAAAGCTGCAGTCAGTCAAGTACTTTTACTTCTTCCTTTTTTGTTTCCTCTCCCATATTTGACTATAAAACACGCTATTGTTCACAAAGAATCACTGTTGATGCTCCTACTAAAACACCAAAATCGTGCAAAGGATAGTGTTGTTTGACAAACCAATTAATGCATTCCTAGCTATTTCAATGAAAACATCGTACTTCTTTACTATTATTTCCTTTCAGTGAAAATATGCAGTATTTGAACTACTCGACACTGTTAAAGATTTGGTGGGGTTGAGGGATTCGGCCTATTGGACAGAGACATTATCCTCTCACGTTAACTGCCATTCCCAGCTTTGCTTATTTTTGTTTTGACTATTCCTATTTTAGCTAACACACAATAGGAATAGAATTGTAAAAAGCTTCTTATTAAGGGTAGAATTGTAAGTTTAAGCTAAATTGTTTCCAAATTTAGAAAGGTATCATTCTTTTTGGAACGGATCAAAAAGGAAATAGGTTCACAAATAGGAGAGGATGTCTTTCCCCGTAGTTGATGCTGAACAAGGTGCTCCTTCTTCTCTTGTTGAGTTCGCATTGGAAAAAGCTTTTCTGGTTTCATTTTGAAACATGCTTTTTGGTTTGACTTCTGAAAGAGGAAATGAAAAAAAACAGCCCCTCAATATTTAGGAGTTGATCCAAGATTATCCATTAATCTTCTATGTTTATCAAAATTGAACACTTTTTATCTTTTACATTTGTCAAAGTTGAGCACTTTTAGTCTCCCATTATATTTAATACACACAACAATAGTTATTTTAGGCTGATTTAGCTTTATTAAGAAACACATGAACTGCTTCAAAGAACCATTAAGGCGCATTTCTTATGATTCATTTCTGCCCAGTTGCATCGTAAGAAAAACCGTTACTCAGGCAAATTCAACCAAAACGTTGACCGAAATCAAAATAACTCATTTTATAACCAAATTTTTACCATTTTTCACAGATTTTCATATTTAAACTTTCCGGTTATGCGCTCGGATTGCACACGCAAATCGAAGCGAGACTAAAAGAGGTTTTTAAGGCCTCGGAAATACAAAATTTAATTTAAAAAACAAATCACTCATTACTATATTGAGTTAACTTCATTTGAATTTAGACTAATAATGTATATAATTCAATCACTGCTTATCAATTTAAACTAGTAATGCTTATATTTTTCGTATCAGCTAATTTATTATGCATTTAGTTGTTTTAATAGCATAGCACTACGCGTGGAACTAAACATTAAAGAGCCGGTACGGAGCTCGTTTCGAGCTCGGCTATACCTTAACAAAACTCCATTAAGTTCGGGCTCGGCTCGGTACTGAAACAAACTTGTTGAGCTCAGCTCAGCTTGATATTGTAAAACTCGGGTGAGCTTGGCTAGGGCACGACTCATTTTACTCGACTCCTAGGCCTATCCCCGGCTATATATGCAAAAGAATAAGTTCTATTATTGTGTACAAATCACTAATTTTGAATTTTTTTATAAAAATTAAACTTTTTGGATTAATTTTAAATTTTGATGAAATTTCTCTAGTTTGTATATCAATTTATCATGATATTGATAATAAAAAAACTAATTATATAAAATTGAAATTTTATAATAACTACTAATTTATTGTGGTTAGAATATTACTATTATTGCGGTAATTTCAAATGCATGACAAAAATGTGTATTTAGCTATAAAAGTTTATTGGAACTCTAACTTTGTGGCTATATCATTTTGTTGTGACAAACAATTTTAGCAACTAATCGTTAACAATTGCTACGATTTTTCTAAACTGAAGCAGAATGATTTGTTTAGCTATAAAATTATGTTATAATTAATTTACTGAGTCCAAAAGATTACAATAGCTATGGTGACTTCAAACGCCTAGCAGCAACTTGTGATTAGCTTCAAACTTATTGTATCTGTAAATTTGTGGGTATATCATTTGTAACTATTGCCACGGTTTTTATAATTAGTAGCAAGTTTTCATTT